GGAATGACCACTGGTCTGGGTCTGGGTTCCTCCTTTTCACCTGTTGGCTGACTGGAGTCCTGTTTGGGTTTCTTCTCTGCTTTCAGGAAGGCCCAGTTAGGATATCCACATTGCTCTAGAGCCTGTCTTGTGTGGGATTTCTCCTTCTGCCTGGCTCCTGAGCTAGTGGGGACGCTGTCTGCTCTGTGATACAGAGTCCTGATGACTCCTAACTTGTGCTCCAAAGGGTGATGGGAGTCAAACTGCAAATACTGGTCTGTGTGGGTGGGTTTGCGGTACACCTCAGTTTGCAAATGTCCTCTATCAGAGACTGAGACCTCACAGTCCAAGAAAGCCAACCTGCCATTTTTTACATCTTCTCGTGTGAACTTGATGTATTTATCCACAGAGTTGATGTGGTCAGTAAAATGTTGGACTTCCTGAGATTTGATTTTAACCCAGGTGTCATCAACATACCTGAACCAATGACTTGGTGGTGTCCCTGAAAAGGACGTCAAGGCTCTCTTTTCTACCTCCTCCATGTACAGGTTGGCAACAATAGGAGAAACTGGAGACCCCATAGCACACCCATGTTTCTGCCTATAATATTGCTCCCCATATGTGAAGTAGGTTGCCTGCAGGCACAGTTTCAAGAGTTGACACAGTTGTTCTGTGGCAAGTGTGGTCCTGCTGCTCAGAGTGGTGTCTGATTTTAATTTTAAACTGACCACCTCTACTGCATCATCAACAGGAATGCACGTAAATAGTGATGTGACATCAAAAGATGTCAACTGAAACGGTCAAATGAAACTGTGCCTGCAGTCAACCTACTTCACATATGGGGAGCAATATTATAGGCAGAAACATGGGTGTGCTATGGGGTCTCCAGTTTCTCCTATTGTTGCCAACCTGTACATGGAGGAGGTAGAAAAGAGAGCCTTGACGTCCTTTTCAGGGACACCACCAAGTCATTGGTTCAGGTATGTTGATGACACCTGGGTTAAAATCAAATCTCAGGAAGTCCAACATTTTACTGACCACATCAACTCTGTGGATAAATACATCAAGTTCACACGAGAAGATGTAAAAAATGGCAGGTTGGCTTTCTTGGACTGTGAGGTCTCAGTCTCTGATAGAGGACATTTGCAAACTGAGGTGTACCGCAAACCCACCCACACAGACCAGTATTTGCAGTTTGACTCCCATCACCCTTTGGAGCACAAGTTAGGAGTCATCAGGACTCTGTATCACAGAGCAGACAGCGTCCCCACTAGCTCAGGAGCCAGGCAGAAGGAGAAATCCCACACAAGACAGGCTCTAGAGCAATGTGGATATCCTAACTGGGCCTTCCTGAAAGCAGAGAAGAAACCCAAACAGGACTCCAGTCAGCCAACAGGTGAAAAGGAGGAACCCAGACCCAGACCAGTGGTCATTCC